GCCTCCAACAGACTGCTGTGAGTGAGCGCTTCAGCTGTCAATCACACACAGACACGCCCACAGTAAAACACCCTATACATCGTACTACAAACAACGCCGTGTCCTCTTCTGTTTCAGAGTGATGAACCAAAACAATTACAGCGACTCGTTTGATTAACGTCAAACACTGACTTTACACACAATCCAACTGAAAATGCTAAATAACCATTTCTATTAAAAAGAAAACATTAAATATCACATCATTAAACATTAAAAATTAATCATCCAAAATAATAGTTTTTGTTCACATAGATGTTTGTGTACTGTTTCAATTTGGAAAATATTTACATGTGTATATACCTTTATATATTTATATTCTTATATTTTATATATAAATATATTTAACAAACAATTTATTAAATATATACATGCATGTGTTTATATATATACACAATAAATATACACAGTACACACACATATTATGTAAACAAAAACCTATTTTGCATGCAATTAATCGTTTGACAGCACTAATATATATATATATACACACACACACATTTTTAATTATTGAAAAAAAAGTTAATAGAAATGACAGAAGCACACAACACAATTACTAAAAAGTTACAAGCTAAACTGAACTAATGAACTAAGATGAAAGTGACACTCTAAGAGAACGAGTCGCTGTCATTGCAGCGGTGTTATTAATGCGTTACCCGTGTCTCTGCTGTCCGGCGGCTGCGTCTCATCGCCGTGTCTCTTCTTCATGTGGACGTTTCTGCTGCCGCTCTGAGAGAACGTCTTCCCGCAGATGGAGCACACATGCGGCTTCTCACCTGAGCACCAGCAAACCACAACACGGTCACATACATTTATCAAACAGTAAACAGATCACAAGCACATTATTGTGTGTATCAATTCATAAAAAGCCAGTGTATAGAGAGGATGCGATATACAGTGGGACAAAGAGTGAAAAATTTAAGGGGGTCTGAATACTTTCCGTACCCACTGTATATACATCAGAGGCGTTATACAGTCAGTAATTCAGATAAGCACGAGTCACGTGACCTCACCCGAGTGTACGAGCATGTGTTTGCGCAGACTGGAATATTCTGCGAAAGATCGGCCGCAGCCGTCAGCATCACACAGGAAGGGCTTTTCACCTGAAAAACAGAATTTAAATCATATGAATCAGTACTTAGAACTCATTATTGGCAACAAGAATCGTTTGAAAAAATCGTACTATTATGGGTAAAAAATATCGATATCTCGATATTAATCGATTCTCATTTTTACGGAACGATATCGATTCTTAAATATAATTGCAATAATCATTGTGCTTTGGTACTTTTAATATGAAACAAAGTCTCAGATTTCAAATTTTGAACGTTGTATTGCAGTATTGAAACAATAAAAGCCGTTTAGGCGCTGTTTAATGTGGAGTGACATCGCTGTAGCGCCTCAGTGAACTGATCATCTCCTCCGCTTTATTACTAGTTATAGCACAAAATAAACATGACTAACATTACACCCCTAATATATATATATATGTGTGTGTGTGTGTGTGTATATATGTATCTGTACAATGTCTTCACGTGTGTAAATTTGTGTACCGGTGTGTGTGTGTGTGTGTGTGTTTGTACCGG